CTCACTTGTTACTCTGTCAGATGGTTTGTAAAACAAAAATGTAAAATGTTTACTAGAGTTTAACCCTTTCTTCGAGTATATTTACTGCATCCATAAAGGCAAATGCATCGATATTTAGCCATTTGCATGGCTAATGAAGAGAGACAATATGCCTGCATTCCTGGAAACGAGCGAAAAATTTGAAAATGTTTCAAAGCCCTCATAAAAAGTGAAAAAGAGTTTCATTTAACCCGTTCGCATAAGCCGCCTAAAAACTTTCGCCAAAGGGTTAAGGAAGTACGAGTATTCCTTCGTGCAAGGTGAGGAACAATGGGCGTCATAAAAAACACAACCGATACATCATAAAGAATACAAAGCGAGCGACATTAGCTGGAAACAAAAAAAACACACACACACACACTTAGTTTCTTCGGAATTTGGCAAGGACACTGGGAAAGAGAAAGCAATAGGCTGAGCCGATCCTTTTTTCTTAATGGTGAAAGGGTTAAGGGTGCAAAAAACGGCAGCCGCATCCTGAAAAACTGAATAGTGAATCAACTACCTGAGTACTGCCATAAAAAACTTAATGTTTTATGATATTTGGCGCAGATCTTAAAAAACTGCAGTACGCGGAAGTGATAGTCTTTTTTTTTTTGGCTATACTCGAGTCCTTGGACAATCATAACTAGAGCAGTCTAATGAGATGCGCGTATAGTATCTAGGATCTAAAGGCGTCTGAGGAACTTTCTCGTGATTTTCCAGTGATTTTCATTGTTAAGCCATCCAACGCCTAACATCATTACCTGGTGCGGCATGCATAAATCTGCACACAATATATATATATATGTATATATATATATATATGTATGTATATAGTAGTATTTGGTATATCATAAAATGTACGGATGGGCAACCAAAGCCACCGAAGCCGTAGCAATTGTACTGGCGTAATGCGCGTTGTCCTTCACGCTTTTGTTGCCTTTCAGCTACTTTTACTGCGTAACCATTAAGAGAAACAATCAAAATTAGAGCAAATATTTCGCTTTGCTGTATCTGTATCTGTATCTGTATCTATAACTCTGCCTCTGCTCTGTTTGTTTGTATATGTAATTGTTGTCTGTTGTTGTTTTGGTCTCTCTACGTATCTGGGTCGCTGTTCTGCTCTAGTTTCCTTTTTTAATCCTTCGGGTTTTCAAGCTAAAAAAGGATTTACGGATGTGTTGAGCCTGCTGTTTAGCATATTATTTCTGCGAAACTATGCCGAGCACACCTCTCATCCTCGTTCTCCCAACCAAGTGGGCGTGCCTCAGCTTTGGCTTTGCTATGTGATTTATTTAGATGCAATTTGCTGTCATTTACAATGTGGGCGTTGTGGTGCTATTTCTGCACTTTTCTATACAAAATATTGACAATAACATGAGATACTCACAATGAGAACGGCACAAACAAGATTTAGCTATAATTATTTTGAGTTTAAGTCAAACTATAATTATAAAAAATGATGGATAAAGTTTATGATAATATAATGAAAAGATAATAACAATCTTTTTTTTTCCCCAAGCTAAAATCGTTTCTCTATTTATATTTTAATTCTCTGTAATTAATTATATTTATATATTTATATGTAAATTAAAATTGCTATTTTTATTTGGTTGGTTTTTTTGGTTTTTTGTTTTAAAACTAAAAATAATTATAAAACTTGAATAAAACATTATTCTTTTATTTTGAATTTAGCTATAATGGTTTTATTCGTATATTTTCATTTCAATTTTATAAATATTTTATAATTACATATTTAAAAAAATAGCATATTCGATTTTCTATAGAAACTATGTTTTCTTTTTCAAGACTTTCAACTATTTCGTGAAACATATGTGATTAAATACATATTTGCATATATTTAATAATCAATTAAAAATGTAGCTATTATTTTTGATTTTAATACTTATTATACAAAAATTTGTTACCTAAAAGCATTTAATTGTATTTTAATTGAAATCTTACCGATATTCTCATTATCAACCTGAATAGTTAAGAAACAGATCTCAATTAGTCTACACAGAAGCGTAAAAAATGGAAAACCAATTTGCACTTGAGATCAAATAGAGAAAAAAACCTAGAAATAAATAAAATGAGAAATGTGCACACACAGAGAAAAAACACGAAACCAAAGAAAATGGCAAATCATGCTTAGCATGAAATCAGCTTAAGAACTCAAGGTGATATCCCAAGCGAGAGGTCAGGCGAAAAGTGCGCCAAATACAAACAAACCTAATGAGGTCTTGGGGGATGGCTGGGAACACATACATATATCTCAATTGAAATGCGGTCAACCACAAGATGCGCATTTGCATATGAGATCTTGAACTCAAACCACCACCACCAACAACAGCAACAGCAAAAAGGGAACAAAGCGTGTGCCTGGCACGACTTAAGGACGTCTGTTGACATTGGCCGAACGAAGGCGAACTGATGCAAAGCCAAAGCATATCACTTGAACTTTGTGCCCGCAGCAATTACATGCCAGTTGTGATCATCGCGATCATCAATTAAGAGGTCAAGCGTGACGCTGCTGGACATGTGCGGATTTGATCCTGCGATCCTGTGCGGCTTAAGGAACATTTGTTTTGCCTTTGCGACAACTTTACATAACTTGTGTGCTGCTGTTATTGTTGTTGCATGTCGTTTTTCCGAGGATCAGCGGCTCCACACCCGTCCGCGCCCGCGCTTAAGCAGCGCTAATCACATGATCAACACTGGATCAGGATCAACGCTGCTCTGATCCTCGTCCTGATCCCGCTGCACCCTGCACGCTGCGTAATGTTGGATTATGCAGTCGCCTAGCCAATATATAAATCACTTTTAAATCTAGGCTCTGGAGAGCCGCTGCTGGTGTTGCCGCTCTAGTTTTCAGGATGCTGGATTAATGAACGCCGTGTGCAAGTTTTGCCTTCAACCGCAGGTAGTTGTCCCTTTAATCCTTTCATCGGCACTCGCAAATCCGCTGCAAAGTCCGGTTGCACTTCTAATCCGGTTGACGACGTCAATGATGCCCGCCTGATGCTTCTGCTTCGGCTTCTGCTCCTGGTCAGGCTACCTGTTCTGATCTCTGTGTGTTTGGATGTGTGCCTCTATTTGCATGTTGTCGGAATTTGGTTTGCCTTTGTTTTGTAAATATTGCCTCGCATTTCAAGTAACAACTCTATTTATTTATCTTAAAATATATCATTTAGTTTTAAATCTTTTTTAATCATAAATTTTGTTTTTCAAAGATTCATTTTAGTATATCTTTGAAAAATAAAAATATTTTTTTTATTAATTTATTTATGTCTTTATTTGAACTTCAGTCCGCTGGCCTACTTATATGAAAAGAATAATTCATATCATATATTTACTCTAATTGATAAAAATAAAACATAAATTAACTGTCATATTGAATATTTACATACTTTTGCATTATTCGTTAATATGCTTTATTATTAAAAAATTACTTGCTTTATTCGATCGTTCTTAAATGTTCTTGCTACAAATTTTATTTGAAAATGTTGTTGAAATTAATTTTTATATTTTTGCAGCTTGTTGTTCTTAAATTTACAGATGTAGATATATACAACAAATAGCTGAATTTGGTTATTGATGTTTATCACAAATATATCACACACATTCTACTGAAAAGGAACAAGTCAATATTTTGAATTTATTCGGAAAGACAAAAATCGGGTTTGGATCTTAATTATCTGAGCTGTTTTTTTTTATTAGTATTAATAGCTGTGCCTCTCTAGATGAATATCTTCAATATATCTATTTAAGAAATTTAAGCTCTGTGAATACATACAAATTTTTAAAAATTATATTTGGTCGCATTAATCTAAGGGCTCATAATAAAGGAACAAAAAAGTGTTTTAATTATACAAATTTGTAATTGTTGGAGTCTTAAGCATTCTTGAAAATTTCGGCTTTTTAATGGAAAAAGTTGGGATACACAAAAAAAGTTGGGATGTGATGTAGTTGAAATAATTGCAAGCAATTTTAACAGCTTGCCATTATTTCAACTACATCATTTAATCTTGCAATACAATAATTAATTAAATCAAGCTGCAATGCAATAAATAAATAATACATACACACACGCATTACACACACACAGTACAAAATTCAAAAGTGAAAGCACAAAACGGTTACCCTTTAATGCAACTAGAACTTTGCAACTTTGTGCGGTGCCATCAATCTCAACCACATGCTTCATTATTGCCCCATGTTTCCACAATCAACAATGTTTTGTGCTGTTGCACGAACATTGCCCAAAACTTAATGCCGAATGCTGGTTTAAAGCGCCAAAAACACAGAAATCAATTGTCGCTGCTGCAAGCAACAACGACAACAAAATCGACTCAATGCAGCTGAGACTGTTGAGCAGTGGTCAAAGACAGACGAGTAAGCAAAAAATCAATAATCAATAATACATCGACATTTGACAAAAAAAAAATTAAACGACAGCTGCAATTGCGAACTGCAGCCAAATGCAGTGCGTAGCCAAAGGATGCATATTAGACGCATACAGCAGGACGAAGAGAGCACACAACACACACAGATGGAGAGAGAGTACGAAGCAAAGAGAAACGAGAACGAGAGCGAGAACGTTGGCTTGGGGCGGCTGTGGACCAGTCACTGAACGCCGATTTTGGGGATGGGGCGCATTTCACTCACTGCTATTGAGTCTGTTACAGCAACCGCTTTGAGTGTTTTGTTTTTGCCGTTGTAATTGAGCGAAACGTCTGTTCTTCCACTCTCTCTTTCTCTCTCTCTCTGTGTGGTTCTCAGCTTGGCTGCTGTGCGTGCGTTTCTGGCTGTGCGTATGTGTGTGAGTGTGTGAGCATTTTGTGTGTTTTTGTGTGTTTTGTGCATGCATTTTTGACATTTGTTTCGTTTGCATTTTGAGTTGATTTTGGGCCAGTGCTGTGCACTATGCGAAGATGATTTTCAGCTATGACTAGTGCTAGTTGAGCATGAATTCGTGTCAGTCGTGTTCACTGCCTCGCATAAGCCGAACGTCGCTGAGCAGCAGTAGCAGCACCATCAGTATCATCTCAAAAAGGACGACGAGTGTCTCAAGCAAAACGAAAGCGAAACCGAAAACAAGAATTTAAAAAAATAAGAAAAAAAAAAAAATCCGTTACAAACAAATAATCTGCCAGTGGTTGTGTTAAGACTTTCCAAACTTTCATGCATTAGAAAGCGGATTTAAAAAAAAAAGTACGGAACAGCCTTCGAAAGAGTTTTTTTCGCACATGCGCGAACTTCGCACAAAAAAGCTAAAAAGCAAAGGCAAATAACAAAAAAATAGATAAAAACTACCAAAAAGGAGCAGCCAACACTGACACACACACACAACTCCAACTGCGTGTGCGTGTACGTGTACATGTGTATGTCTGTATGAATGTGTGTGCTTGTGTGCTTTGCGCGTTTTTTGTTTCGCACGCACTTTTATCGCCGTTTTGTTTAATTTAACGGTGCCGCGGTCAAGTGTAGAGAGCGCGAAAGCTTCCACAGCAGTCGCTCCTGTTCCCAATTCCGCCCACGCCCGTTTTGGACCAAAAACTTTTTGAGATTTGCTCGGAGTTGCCGCAGGTATGTAAATATCAATTTGCAGATTACTAAACAACAGGTTTATTGCGTATTTCACCTTCAGAATGCTCTCTGCACATAAATATTAGAGATTTACAGTTAAATGAAAGTGCACTCAACAACAATTCGGGGGTTCAGAATAAACGAACAAAATAAACAAAAACAATCGAGAATTCAAAAATAGTGCACAGCGCAAATATCAAATTTGTTGAGGCATTCCAGCAAACACAAAACCCTAAAATGAGTGCTGAAAAATAAAGTATATCGTTTAGAATATGTCATAATTATAATGATATTGTGTATTGTAGAATAGTAGGTTCCTAAGGGTAACTGAAAGTGTGAATAATATATTTTTGTTTCTTACTTGTGCTGATTAACAGATTTAATTTATAATTTTATAATTCTTAAATGGAAAGAAAAGTGGATTCTAAGAGATATATTAAATTGCTTGAAAATACTTGCAAATAATTTAATATTCACTTGATTTTATTTATAATTTAAACGTTTTTAAAGGAAAAGAATATTATCTACATATAGTAGTAGCAATCATAAAATAAATGATTTTATCTTTGCAATTTCCACACCAATCTAATTTCGAATTGTTACAATTTGTATCAGTTTCGGAATCAGCCTTTCATTCTTTTTTCTTTACTGCTCCGTTTCTATCTCTAGTTTTTCTTTTTTTTAGTTCTTCTTTTTTTGTCTAACCTTAAAGACAACACTCACACACATACACACACACATACTACCACATAACTCACTAACACACTCACACTTGCCTGCATATCATTTGCTAAAAATGCAAGAGAAAAAATTCTAAAACAATATTTCAAAATCTGTCTGGCTTTTAGCCGATCTAGCGAACTTGTTTTTTGCCCGTGCTGTTTTGCAAGATTTCACCAACCCCAAGCCCCCCATCCCAGCAGCCACTCCCCCATTCGTTTCGCTTCCCTCCTCCATGTCCCATGTAGTGTTGGCCCCTGTTTCGTTTCGTTGCCTGGCAGCTAATTTTATTTGTTTACATGTCCGACTGCATGTTGTATTTCTTGTTTTTTTTTTTTGCCCGCCTTTCTTTCCGTCCGTCCGCGTCTCTGTCACTTTTTAGCAATTTCTTTTGATTTTTGTTAATTTTTTCTTTTTAATAATTTAATTTTAGACATTCAACTATAATTCAAAGTCAACGTTGCAATTTTTTAATCGCCATTTTGCTTCAATCTGCCAAAAGTGCATTTCGAAAAGAATATTGCCCCAGCGTTGAAGAACCCAAAATATCTTGAATATTGTGTTTATTTTTGTTTAGTTAGTTTTTTTTTTTGTTGTTTTTATTTTATTTTTTGTTTCTGTTGCTTTTCGTTGTCTTTTCGCTTGGCTTCTTCTTTTGCCTTTTTAACTATTGTATTTTTTGGCAAGCGTTGCTAAATTGATTGTCAGCTGCTTTAATATGTTTTGAATGTGCTGCTGCTCAAATCAAAAAATGGATGAACGCATTCTCGTGTTTTACGCTGACATTGAAATGCGCGCCGCCCCACCCTAAATAAATTCCATGCAGTTGCTTTCCCCAAATAAACTTATAAACAAAATAGCAAAAAAAAAAAATGCATCAAAGATCGCTGAACAATAACTAAATATAAATAATTTTTTATAACGCAAATTCATCTTGCGTCTGTACCCCTCTACAATCCCCTTCCAGCCTCCATCGGCAGCAATTTTCTAACCGCTGCTGCTGATGCAAAATTTTACAACAAAAACATTTTTTGTGGCGCATTTTCTGCGTCTGAATTTTCCATTTTTGCCATTTTCATGATATTTTTACAAAAGCGGGCCGGGCATGAGGTTGGGGTTTGGGGGATGTGGTGGTTGGGGTTGGGGTTGGCCAAACGACTAGCACATGTTTAGTTTACTTTGCAGTTTCGGTTGCGTTGCATTCACACCGCCACCGCCACCCCCGTCCGCGCTCTGCGCTGTTCTTCATCATCCTAGTTGCCGGCGTAATATTAATTTTACACTTGGCCTTTAGTTGTTGCCTTTGTTATTGTTTCTTGTTTTTGTTGTTGGGTGTGCAAAAAAATAGACAGCTTTGCCTCTCTATCTCTCTCTCTCTCTCTCTCACTCTCTCGCTCTCTATCTCTCTCTCTCTCTCTCTCTTGCTCTCTATCTCTCTCTATTTCTCTCTTTGTTGTTGTTGTTATTGTTGTTGTTGGACTGACAAGCCAATTAATTTGGCTTCTTAAAAATATCACTAGCTAAATTAAATAAATATGCTAAGCACATTATACAATAAATTTGTTGCTGCGTCTGCTGCTACTTTTGTTCTTCTCTCGCAGAACTTGTGCAGCGCTAAATTTCCTGTACCATCAATTATGCATGAGTATTGTAGAAATTTCCACCGTCCCCGCAACCACATCCCCACTCCCATGCTGCTTACGTTTTGCGTTTTTAATAATATTTACTTAAAAGCACAAACAATTGACCGAAATGCGGCAAATGCAACTTTCGAAAAAAGAGAAAAAAATATAAAATTTAATGGATTCATTAGAAAACTACGCAAAAAAATCCGTAAGCAAAGATCTCTCTCCCAAAGTATTCAAAAATGCATAGCAAATTGGTGAACGCAAAATATTGTTTGTATAATACCAAAATTGGTTTTATTTTGAATATTTAATAATATTCCACATGCAATTTTCTTTTTATAAATGCTTTGTTGAAACTTTTCATACAGAAATGGCAAAAATAACAACATAATACAAATATCGTAGATTGTGTAATAGTTGTTGAATTCCTTAAACTAACTGAAACTATTGACAATATTGTATTTGTAATTATAAATTTTATTTAAATGTTATAACGAAAAAATAGAAAAAATTAATGCATTTCTAGAATAAATACGCAAAAAATTCGTTAGCAAAGAACTCTCTTCTAAAGCATTCAAATTTGCGCAGCAGTCAATAAAATTGCACTTTTTTTTTCAAATAAATATTTAATTTGCATTTAAATGAAATTTTCTGAACGGAAAATATTTTTTGTATAATACCAAAATTGGTTTTGCATTGATTATTTAACAATATTCCAAATGAAATTGTTCGTTGCTGGCACATTTTTATTTTTACTTTGCCGGAACTTTTTATAGAAAATTGCAGCTCTGCAAAAATAACAATAATTCAATAACTATTAAAAATACACAAATTTATGTGCCTTAAATGATAACAATTTGCTGAGAAATATTTTCTATTTTTGGCAGCTGTGCTTGATTCGTTAGCCAACTCACACATACTTGCCATGTGTTTGGGGTAGTATGTGAGTGTGGACCATTAATTTAAATCCTTTTTGCTTTTTATTATTAAACGCGAAATGCATCGTCGCAGCCTGTGCCTGCCACGTCCTCATCCTCAGCCTCGACCATGTCCAAATCCATCAGCAAATCTAAATCCATATTCGCTGATTAACTTTAATCCACTGCGAGGGGAAAATTCGCGTCGCGTTTTTCTCTTCTAATCTGCATAGCTTAAGCTTCTCGGCCCGGATCATCCAAATCCAAATGCGCGTAATTTTTGCTTTCTTTTTTTTTTGTCTAATCCAGTTTGAATGGATCAAGGAGAGAAGTGCGCGACTTCGCGACCTGGTATATACCTGACCTCTCGCTCACCTTTTTGCCCATCTAATCCCTTGACGCGTGCAAGCGCGTCTACCTGGCCCAAATATATAAGCCACAACCATTTGCAATTTGTACGTCAGTCACACGTTCATTTCACCAGCGAGCAGACGCACAGCACAATTCACTTGAGATCCGAGATCCCGATCCTGATCACCATCACAATCATTGGAATATACATATAAGCAGATATATACATATAGGATTTGCGCTAGGTGAGCATCAAGGATAAGGATGCCCTGAGTCGCCTCCCGCCAGCCATTTTGTGTGAAACTCACTCAAATTGTGCCACCCCAGTGGCAGTAAGGGAAGCGTGGCACGTTTTTAGGGGTGGCAAAAATAAAAAACAAGAAAAACGCGAGCAAAAAAAAAAAATAAAATGAAAATAAAAAACTTGACGCAGGCGCATTAAATTGCAATTTTTTTTTAACTAAAAGCAGCTCATTACAATTTTCTCTCTCTCTCTCTCTCTCTCTCTATCTGCTTTTCTCTATCTCTCTCTCGCTAGCAGGCGTAAGCAGCAGTAAGATGCAGAACTGGGAGACGAGCACCGCAGCGCCCAATTATGAGCAGCACAATGCGTGGTACAGCAGCATGTTCGCCGCCAACATCAAGCAGGAGCCCATCTCGCATCACCATCACCATCATCATGCTCATCACAGTCATCATCAGCATCCGCATGACAGCAACAGCAATAGCAATGCAAGTAGTCCACACCAATCGCCGTTGCCCTCACCCAATCCACCCAGCAACACCAATCTGCAACTGGAGCAATACCTCAAACAACAGCAGCAGCAGCAACAACAACAACAACAACCCATGGATACACTTTGTGCTGCTGCCATGACTCCATCGCCGAGCAACAATGATCAGAATAGCTTGCAACACTTTGATGCCACCCTGCAGCAGCAACTCTTGCAGCAGCAACAATATCAGCAACACTTTCAGGCAGCACAACAACAACAACAGCAACAACAGCAACAGCAGCAACATCATCATCTGACACTGGGCGGTTTCAATCCGTTGACGCCGCCCGGTTTGCCCAATCCCATGCAGCACTATTATGCTAGCAATTTGCGTCCCAGTCCAACAGCAACGACAACAACAACAACACCTGCTGCTGCTCCAACGACAACAGCAGCAACAATTGCACTGCAAGCCAATGACAAATTACAGGCACTAACTCCACCCATGGATGTAACGCCACCAAAGTCACCGGCCAAGTCCCAGCAATCCTGTGCGGAGCCAGAGAAGGAGCATGATTTAATGTCCAATTCGAGTGAGGATATGAAATATATGGCCGAGTCGGAGGATGATGACACCAACATACGGATGCCCATCTACAATTCGCATGGCAAGATGAAGAACTACAAGTGCAAAACGTGCGGCGTGGTGGCCATTACCAAGGTGGATTTCTGGGCGCATACGCGCACCCACATGAAACCGGACAAGATACTGCAGTGCGCCAAGTGTCCGTTTGTCACCGAGTTCAAGCATCATCTGGAGTACCACATACGCAAGCACAAGAACCAAAAACCGTTCCAGTGCGACAAGTGCAGCTATACGTGTGTGAACAAATCGATGCTCAACTCGCATCGCAAGTCGCACAGTTCGGTGTATCAGTATCGGTGTGCCGATTGTGATTATGCCACCAAATATTGTCACAGCTTCAAGTTGCATCTGCGCAAGTATGGTCACAAGCCGGGCATGGTCCTGGATGAGGATGGCACACCCAATCCCTCGCTGGTCATCGATGTCTATGGCACCCGACGTGGCCCCAAAAGCAAATCGCTCTCGGGCAACGGCAACTCCAGCAACTGTTCCAGTTCCAGCAGCAACAAGCGCAGCAGTGCAACAGCTGCAACATCTGTGCAGCACCAGCAACCAGTTATTCCACCAGCAGCCACATCTCAGCTATCGGCTGCTTTGCAAGGATTCCCAATGCCAGCGGCGGCTGCAGCAACTGCAGTTGCAACAACTGTGCCGCCCGTGTCGCCACCGTCGCCAGCGAAGAGTGTTGCCAGCAGCGTTGAGCAGGCGCCCAGTTTGTCGAACGCATTGCTGCCACCTTTGGCCAGTTTGTTGCAACAGAATCATCGCAACATGGCCTTCTTTCCCTACTGGAATCTCAATCTGCAAATGCTTGCCGCCCAGCAGCAGGCTGCAGTTCTTGCCCAGCTATCGCCGCGCATGCGTGACCAGCTGCAACAACAACAGCAGCAGCAGCAACAGCAGCAGCAGCAGCAACATCAGCAACAGCAGCAGCTGCAACGATTGCCAGCACACAGCGACAACGAGGAGGAGGAGCAGGAGCCGGAGGAGGAGGAGGAAGCTGAGGATGATTTTGAGCGCAAGTCAGTGGATTCAGCCATGGATCTGTCCCAAGGCACTCCGATCAAGGAGGAGCCACAGCAACAACAGCGAACACTGAACAATCACATGGCAATGAATTTAAAGATCAAGGACGAGGATACACCGCTGATCAGCAGCAGCAGCGCCTCCCGACGCAAGGGCCGTGTGCTGAAGTTGGACACGTTGCTGCAGCTGAAGTCCGCTGCAATGTCCACGCCGGAGCAACAGCTCAAACTGCCATCGAGTGTGCTGCCCACAGCCTCATCTCCGATCTCTGGCAGCAGTGCCAATAAGCAGCTGGCGGATGATCCGTGCTCGGGTGCCAGCTCAGCGGATGAGTCCATGGAAACGATGGGTCATGTGCCACAGGTCAATACGAGTGCCAGTTCAACGGCCTCCAGCTCCGGCAACAGCTCGAATGCCAGCAGCAGCAGCAATCCGACTCCAGCTGCAACAGTTGCCGCCTCAACCTCAGCCTCTGCGTCCGCGTCTGCATCTGCATCCGCGTCCGTGTCCAGCTCATCCTCGAGCAGCAGCAGCAGCTCACCGGCCATTTATGAGTGCAAGTATTGTGATATTTACTTCAAGGACGCCGTGCTCTACACCATCCACATGGGCTATCACAGCTGCGACGATGTCTTCAAGTGCAACATGTGCGGCGAGAAATGCGATGGACCCGTCGGACTCTTCGTGCACATGGCACGCAATGCGCACTCCTAAGGAGCACCCACAGCACCCCACCCTCAATTGTTATTAGATATTATTATTATTAACATATTTCGTTGTCCAGAATTGTAAATACTCGTAGTTTAGTTTGATTTTGTTGTCGAGAATTGTACATAAGCCAAAAAATGCACTAAAATGCTATCAACTAACTCTAGAATTAAGTTCGAAAGAAAACCAAACTAAACCAAACCAAAACACATTCATGTTTAACTCTGTAACCGTAACTAATATAATATATCTATGTAGCAGCTATCTATCTAGTATCTCTATCTCTCTTTCTCTCAATTCCTTGCTTTATTTTTTTTTAAATTAAGTCACAAAAACATTTGCGAACCGAATAACGACCCTGAATAAGGTTTAAAAATTTCAAATGCGTATTTAGCCTTAGTTTAAGTCAACTATAACTTTAATTTGTAAGCCTAGCCAGCAAAGAGTCCAAAGTCAAATTACAATATCAGCAATTAATATATTATTTTATTTTTTATAAAAATAAATGTTTAGTTCTAAAAAGAAACACGACTGTTTTTTTCTTTTTGATTTTGAAACTAATTTCAGTTTAAAGCTAAGTCTCGAATTAATAAAAGATTAACATATATTCAAAAATAATTTGATTTTGATCATTTGTGAAACTCTTTCGGCATAATGACAATATTTTTGATACCGATCAAAAAGAAGTACAAATATAAAGATTTTATAAGAAATCCACAAATAAATGTAAAGCCCACAACATTTTTTAAATTTAATTACAAATACATATAATAACTGTGTAGAAAATAATTAAATGTATAAACTAATATTTACAAAATATGAAGCGCAATCTGAGCGAATGGATCAAAATTAATTAGTTTCTAGTTATTAATCTAAATGTAAACCAAAGTCAAATCAAAATCGATACTTTTTACGATCCCAGTGTAAGGAGAATTTTGTTTTCAAGAAACACGTGTACCATATAGCATAGTTAAGAAAGTTTCCCAAATGTTTTTATGTAATATTTAATAAAAAAAAAATCAATATGCCACATAAAGAAATGCATAACTATTTTATCAACTGTTTAGTTTTCGAAGATCCCAACAGGAATTTTAATAATGATTTATTGAAATATGGTAAAAATAACCACACAATGTGCTGAGATGGTTAATTGAAAAGAAAACTGCTCCATCATTTGCTAAGTGGTGAAAAAACTGTGCGGGCGACCCAAGCAAATTGGCCCTAACGAGAAAAAAAAAAACAAATCCTGAGCATCGTCTAAGAACTTCCCTTGATCCATCATTGTCAGACAATTTGCGTGAAAACGCACAATTCGCATGGCAGACGAGTGAAGCAGAGGGGGCACAATTATATAATAATAATGAAAAACGCATGAGCACGCGCTTTGGGCAACGCCTTGCAACATGACGCAGCAGCAGGGTCTCAATGGATCGAGGATCGCTTGGGGAGAGTTCATTCTCCGAGAGCTGCGCTTGCGCCGAGCACGCACTTCTCCCAAAATGTGTTGTCGCGTGCTCTTTGAGTGGAAATGAGTTTTCTTCTTCATTTTCGGGTGTTTTATATATAGATCTTTCCAGACTGTTTGTGATTGGTTGAATATTGTTTCGCTTGGCGTGTGGGGGGGAAAAGAGACGACATATTTCGAATATTCGTTCATTAAACATTTGATAAATATTTTCCATAATTTTCCATTTTTCCTCATTAAAATTATGCGCCCAAAGCACAATTGATATTTATGCGTGGGCCAACAATCATTTTAGTTAATTACGATTGAAAATTGATAATAAATATTTTATGGTGGTCAGCGACTTAGTCAAAATTGTAGATCTAATCGTAAACAGGATTTTGCATATCCATTTAGCAGGGAGAAAATCAAAAGATTCCAGTTCGTTTGAGCGCACTCAAGTTGGCAAATAAACCAATGGACGGACACAATCATCTTTGGCTTGTGGCAGACGCAAGCGAGCTCAAAGATGTTTATCTTCTTGTTGCAGGATCCGAATCTCATTGTGTGCTGCCTAACGATCCTTGCTCTGGTCGTGATTGCCAGCTCTTATCTCGGCTTGTGGCATTCTTGCATCCCTCAGTCCATTGTTCGATGCACAGACAAAAAAAAAATAAAGAGAATGAAAGGAATCTTTGTTAAGCGAAACTAGCCGGGGTCACTTAGGATCCCCCACTGACTGACTGACTCACTGAGTGACCATTTGAAAGGTGTAATTTTGGTTTTTGATGTTTGTTGCGCCTGCGCCATTTTTCCGGGTTCCTTTTCTTGTTGCCTCCTCAAGCAGCTGTTGTTCATTTTTTGCACCTTTTGCTATAGAACAGTTTTTACCGATTTGTCTTGGATTTGCTGAGAGAACTCAATTTTAAATACTAATTTTTTTATGTCGACTAATATTTCAAAGTCAAAAATAATAAAACAAAATAAGGCAAAATAAATTGATCATTTTTTTATTAAAATATATCTATATTTATTTTATTAAAATATATATAAGTGCAATTTTCTATAAATTTATTACAAAAGGGAAAAACGAAAGTGGAAATATATTATGTAAGATCTTAATTTGGAAATTTTGCTACAATAAAGGGGATTATAATAATATGCAAAGTTACGTAAATAATACGAAGACAACTCATAATGCTATAGAAATATATCTATTTAGTTTACGAAAATAATAAGATTCAAGAATATTTAAGAATAAATCTTGGAGTAATCGCCTCCATATTGTATACTTTTACAAAACATTGAATATTGTAAAATGTATATCTTTAGGCATTGAGTGTTGGTGGTTTAATAATGAATATGTTGTATATATATATATATATATATATATATATGTTTTATCGGCTTACGATAAGAAGCGACTTAGGATGCCTCCCCAGTTAAGAAACAACAGGCATCTTTTGAAATGGAAATACATTTTCTTATCAACATAATATTAATTTAAAGCAATACACGTTACCCAACTGTTCTCCAAACTTTCGTTTCGAAATAAGTCAAGTTCCTCAAAATACATATTATTTTATTAAGAAGCTCATCGTTTGATTAAAATATATTTTAATATAGTAATTTGTATATTCTAATTCCAAAGATTAAGGGAACATTAAATGCACAAAGTGTTTTTTGCCATCTGCTATCAGTTGGTATTAAAATGCTATCAGAGTATCACGCAGTCGGTGAGATTCGATTGAAATCATAGTTTGATTTTAAGATTAGGATGAGCAATTGCTGGAACACAAGTACATAAAAATAATAATAAGAATATTAAATATATCTTTTGAAAGGCATATACAAGATATGCCATTAAATTTATGCAACTGATTTCTGGATTTTAGCATTAAATTCTGTTCACTTGCCCCTTCCCCGGACATAATGTTGAATGCAACCATTTTGTTGCTACCCTTCATATTTCGTTTGGCTTATCCAACAATCTCCATAAGAACCGCAGCCCAGCAAACACACAAGGCTCAACATGAAAGTATTAATAATGCCACAAAAAAATCTCCCACAGGGCTGAACATAAAATAGGTATTTACAGCCGAGCCACCCCCAGAACTAAGAAGAACAACTCCAACAACAAGAGCAACATTAGCAACGACGACGTCAACAATAAAGGCTAAAAAAAAACGCACGCCATATTGAATATATTGAGTCTGGGTTTGGGGTTGAGATTGGTGTGCCACACTGGGTGGACTGATTGGTGTGGGTAGCCATTTTTAGACGCGCCAGACGAACAACAGCTAAAAATAAGCCAAGTAGCAATTCCAAAATAAATTCGAGGGAGTTCGAAAAGTGTTACAAGGTTTTTCACTATGCCAAAAACGAACAGCTCTGCATGGGTTTACCACAGGCTGAGGGGTAGAGATGGACAAGAAGGAAAGGGAGAGGTTGAGGGGTGGAGGGGCGTGTGTAAGTACAAGTGTGGGTGTATAGTTGATTAGGGCACACGCAAGGGTGCCGTTCAATGCAAGCGATACACACACCATTTATAACTACGCTTGACCATGGATCATGAGTTGCGCTGGATGATTAAGAATCCACCCTTTGGACCACGTAAAACACGAGCCCTTATCAAACAGCCGTTGTCCGTTGACCGTTGCCCGTTGCCCGTTGCCCGTTGCCGATGAGCTGTTGATTGCCATTTCGCAGAGACGGCGCCCACATTACGAAAGACACGTTGGAAATTGTTCAGGTTTCCACACACACACAACTTTACGCATTATTATTATTATAAAATTGCCATGAACCAGCATCTGTAGCCAATTATGGACTGACTCTGATCCTTGCAGCGTGACGTCATGTGCAGCCAGCTATCGGCACCTATTTTCATATACCCTATTCCCTATTCATACTTAGCAATCCTTACTCACACACGCCGACGGATTTGCTGAATAGCCGATAATTTATTTCTGTAAACAATTTTCACTGGAATTGCGCACGGTTCCTTCTTCAAGCAGCCTTGGTGTCCTCAGTGTCCAACAGCTGACCAGGGTCCGTCGCTTATTCCTTATGTGGTAGGTGGAACTAATTTTTAAGTGGGCGCTGCTAACAAGCAAACCAAAAGATGACCTGGTTTGCCATACCAGGTGAGTATTTTGGCATGAGCTAACTTATGTTTATCGTTTAAGAAAATGGCAATTAGACGCTGAAGTGTGTAAAGCATGTCATCCGATATTTAAGTGAATTAAACATGTATTAAATAAAGCCCACAATTTTTATTTATTGCCCAACTAAATTTATGACTTTTGAACTCAACACTTTGAAAATAATTGCTTTTATTAATCTAATCAAAATTTGTCGGTATTAAGAAATCTTTTTAAAGAATATTTGTATTTTGCTTGACATTGTGCACATCAATTATGCTTTTATAATGTATTTTCAATACCAACTTCTAAAGATTGATTTAGAAAATCACAAATAACATAAATATTACAGTAAATCAAACAAAAATTAAATAACATTTATTTTAAATGAAAATGTACAATTAATTTATGACTAAATTGATGTATAATTTATAAATAAAACACATTGTGAAGTTTAGGTTTATATTAGGTAAACTAATCAATCAAAATAAAAATATAGTAATTTAATAATTTATTGAATGTTTGTTTTATGTACTAGAATATGAAATATTCATTGCTGTTTACTTGTTTAGGTATTTTGTATTGAAAATAATTAAATGAACAACTGCTTTCCTTTCATGTGAATGTTCAACTAAGCATAGCCCAAACACATAAATAACAAAGCTGTTAATTAAACTTTTTTATAGATCTGTCAAAATAGAATATTTCATCGCAAGGACAAGGACAAGGACAATTCACATTATCATACCTTTCTTTTAAATTGTTTTCTTATATGTGAAAAAATTCGCATTCTCAGATCTTGCCAAAAATTATTCGATCTTCGAGATATTTTCAATGTATTTGAACAGTAACATGCAAATTTTAAATGCAGACTTGAGGCTGGCTGCCTCACTATATATATATGATGAATATATATATATATTTATTTATATGTAATAAATGCAGACTGGAACATGGCGCAATTCCAAATCTATTCAAGTGCAAAAACCAAAACTAATTTCAACACATTTAATGATAAATATGCAAAGCTGAACAGAATCATGGGAGGGCATATGTACGTACATATATACCAAAATAATGTGTAATGGTTGGGGTTGGGGTAGCTGGGTTGGTGGTGCGGGCAGCACAACTAAAGGATACCCAC